GCAATAAAATTGTGCACCTGAAATTATGTTGCAGCTTCCTCGATCTAAATGATCGACTTTACGAGGATATCTAGAGCTTCTTCCCGACTGAAATAATACCTTCTCGCGATATCGAACGATACTGAAATGCACGCGCTCTCAGGACGAACGTAAAGCAACTTCCAGCGGCCAAAAGGGAAAGAATTGAATTATCCGAACTTATGCATGTGGCACCACGTTTACACGATATATGAAAGTCGCGTGTGCGAGGCTCATACCCGAGCGAGGCAAGCAATCGCGCTAAATCTCCGTGAAAAATCCAACGGATATATGTATATTCACGAACTTGCGTCTTTTCTCGCATCTTTCTCCGGCAAAAGGCGTTTAATTTTCACGAAGAACCTCAATTTATGGGATATCTTAAATTCTGGTACATGTTCTCAAACTTACAAACAATGCTTTATCTTTTAATTCCTCGCATGAGCAAAAGTTATACCCTGCTTTTACGCCAATGATAAATATATCTTCCGCAAACGACTGTAAACATATCCGTTTTAATGCAAAGTACTCTGCAATTAATTAATGCAAAAATTAACTTTTCAAATTATAATTAAAATCACAAAGATAAATAAAAATTAGTCGAAAACGGTATGAAAGTAAATATTAAATTAAAATAAGTGCTACACCGATTTTGAATAAATATATTAAACATTGCAAGGTCCTCATTTATAAGTAGAGTAATGGTATTACAAGATCAACTGCAACATAATGTCGAAGAATTTCTACTTTAATCGGGCGAAATAGGTACATTTTCCAAATAATCCATCAGCTAATGCATTTAAATCTAATTTTTGTTTCGTCAAAGTCCGGTATCATGGCCGCCTTAAAGCCAGATATGAATATTGAAATTCTCATTATTCGCATAGCCGCGAGCGACCAGTGTAACTGATCCACACTTTGGCCGACATAATTTAAAGTTTCTAAATTAGCGAGTTAAATTATGGATACGTGCTCGGTCACTAGGCATCCCGGGCTAGCCAGTTTAACAGATAGATTGCAAAAGTCATGTCCCGTAGGACTCGCAGATATCATCTTTATTTTATCTTTAAACTAGGTCGTATTACAAGACTATAACAATTTAATTTTCAAGCATATACCCTCCACTCATTTATATATTCTCTACAAGAGAAATTTTAATAGAATTTTCATGGTCTTACATTGAAGAATTCATCACAGAAAGAAAAGTATTTAGTATTTGTGACTATAATTGTATGGTTAAAAAATTATGGTTAGGAGGTCCATTTTTATGATTATTATTACTATAATAATAGTAACAATAACTTTATATGTATAGTTCTCACAAATATGGAAAAATTTTTTTTAATTTTATTATAAGTTACGATAATCTGAATTATTAATACAGTAAAATGTTAATGAATGGTAAATAAAAAAAATTATTTTTATATAATAAATGCAATCGTTGTTACAGTGAATACACTATTTTTTTAACATTCGCTATTTATATGGTAAGAGATATGGTAAGGAAAAATTTAACAGATACATGTTATAGTTGTAATAATAATCATTGTAATAAAAATTTCAATGTTGAAGCAATTATAATGTGCATGGTTAAAACAATTATAAATTTATAGTTGACCCAAAAAATGACTATAAATTATAGTTAAACTATATTATCTGCAATCATTTTTTTTTCTCTCAGTGATGGAAAAAAGCTTTTATCTTTACATAACAAATTTTTGACAAACTTGGAATCAATCTTTTCTTAACATTAATTAAATTTCGAATTAGTGTAATATGATGTTATTTTCTTTAGTGACATTTTTATTGAGTTAAAAGCAAAATTTCTAGCAATTTCGTTACATCGATAAATCTAACTGATGCTATTTTCTACCACGATATGAAAACACGAACTTCAAAAGTTATTTTCTCAGAAAAATATTGATAGAATATGATGGATAATGATAAATATGAAATACAAAAGTCATCAGCTCGTATTCTTTGCTCGCAGTTGTCGAAATTCTCGAATTTATTATAACTCAGATTGCAATATCAATATTGTGACTTTTCTGTTCAATTGAGAAATAAGCGTGGCATTCAATTGAGAAATAAGTTGTTCCTAACTTTCGATTATTTAGAAATTCTAGAGAGTTGTTCGGCTTCTGATAAGGTCGTTAGACGTTGGTAACAAATGAGACCGAATGTAGGTCGGAACACTGGGCTAGGTTCTTCATTTTTCACTGCAGTTGGGAGGCGCTTAACATCATGAATCTCCCTGGTGTCGGACAAACAGGGACAGACGCGATTCTCCGCAATTAAACAAGCCGAAATGAATATGAAAAAGATGCTAACTGGAGCAAAGAAAAGTTTCCACGAAATGACCACGTTGGTATGCCGGCCTCGATTCCAGAAATTATCCTACTCTTCATAGACACACGAAATTAACTTCTAGTCGAATAAACTATCTTGATCCTCCTTCATAATTAACAATTCCATGCAAGATTGGATCACAGCATTATAATTTTAACACAAACTCGACGTAATTCTCATTAATATTTCGAATAATATTCAAGAAAAGACTAAATAGATTTTCCCAGTGCATATTTTCGAAAAATATTTTGCACAGCTTTGAAAAAAATGATTTATAATTAAAATGAATTATCGTTTTATATAAAACAATTTGTCGTATTCATTATCATTCATAATACATATTATTTATCCAAATTATTTATAAAATAAAAGATGATATATTAAATACAAGGAACATGCGAATACAACGCTTTAATAACTGTAAAACTTTATCAATATAATTTTCTTGATCGATCTTCTTTTGAAAGTACCATGCGGAAACTAATTTCGCAATGAATATTTTTCGAAGGAAAATTGATTTTTCGAAATATATTTTCCCTACATTCCCTACATTCATCGCTGGAAAGCATTACTTTCCCAGCAAACATAAACTTCATCTCATACTAGTTAACATATGTGCAATGAAAATCGTGGTGGTTGATCCTCTGGTGTTGCTTTAAGGAAAATAACGTATTCTCTACTCTACTACAAGAGAAAATACGCACGCTTAGATGCACGCATAAATAAGCGAAAACATGAAACTAGGTCATATACCGAGAAAAATTTTTGGCTGAAAATGAACGAATCAGAAGATTCTAATCATATCAATTAGAATTCTAGTTTTCTCAACTAGAATATAATAAATTCAACCAGAAAATCTCAATTCGTCCATTTTCAATCAAAATTTCAGTTAATCAGACTCTTTTTCCAGTATATCGTTTCCCCTAATATTTTCAATAAGTAGTGCAAAAGAAAATCTGTACCGTATTAATAATATTAATATGTTCTGATATATTCTATTTTTCATTTATGTATTACTTATTTATTTTATATATTTAATTTAAAACCGATTTACGATTACGAAACTGATAAATAAACAATAACTAGGTTGTACTGTTTAGTAATATTTTGAATAATATAAAAGAAAATCTGTTGTATTAATATCAACGTTCTAATATGTTCTAATATTAATTTAATTTTCTTAATATTAATTTTAAAAATATTATAAGCATGTCCGAATAACAGCCTAAAAACCTTACGTGATTCGCTGTTAATATAAACTCAAACGTATATTTTGATCAAAATTTATAAAGCAAACAACAAAGTATAAAATTTTATTAAAAATCGTAATTGCTTATTTTATGTTTTTCATTCAAAAACATTAATTTCCCAAAAATATCTTTCATTCTTCATAAAATTAGTCGAACCCTGTTTCAGAATGATAGTCAATGCCACCCCTTCCCCCTCAACAGAATGCTGTAATTGGTTTGTCGCAGCTTAACTAACTACCGGATAAAGTCACCAGTAACGCTAGCATTTAAGCGGGCTTACCGCTACGAGGTGAAGCGAGATGTTTACTGCTAATTGCGTGGCTTCGGACTTTCGATTTACTTGGATTTATGTCATGAACGTGGAGAAGGAAGGGCGTTAAAAAATTTCTTCCCAATTGGTTTTGCACACGTTCATTTTTTAGAAGGGGAAATTGCTCAAAAACCGAGAATGACGTTTTTTTCAATCTATCAATGGAGATCTTTGGTAAATATACAATCGTTTTCCTTTAAAAAAAAAAACTCCATTTTCTTGTATCTGCTTAATTTCCAACATTGTATATCTCATGTTACAAATTTTTATATTAAAATTCTATTATAAAATAAAATCAATTTTCAATTATAGATATATTAATGTTTTAGATTTCGACTCATATACGTTGCTTTTAAAATAGCTCACGAAGGTTTAAAGATGCCGGCGAATATTTTCCGCAAATTAACTAAAATTCTTTACTCTATTACCGAGTCTTAACACACTCTCTCGGTTTAAATAAGGAAAGAAATACTAGCTAGCAGTAACAGATGAGGGAACAACGAATAGAATATACACGATAACGCTGTAATATAAATAGTTGGCATCGTGCCAGATGAGTTAATTGCTAGATCAGCAGTACTTCCGTTTGTTCACCGCGAACTCTTGGCTGGCTAGCTAAATTTTTCTTGGCAGAAAACACGCGTTTAAATTCGCAAAGTATTTCTGTTTAATGTACCTGGTGCGCGCGCGTTCAGATCTCATTTGCGCGATTAAATCTCGCGCACGGCATGCTATGAGAAACGCGAAAAGTTCTTTTTTAAGAAGGACAATGTACGCGAGGTACGAGAAATCAACGGCAAAAGAAACGGAAAACAATTCACCGCGACTGCATTCGTCGACACGTCGCACGAATCAAGCAAGTTTTTTTTTCACATCAGGGAGATCGAATTCCATCGAATGTCGAAAGGTTTCGGAGAATTACGTAAATTCGCGTGATGAAAAGCAGGTCAACGCAATTCAAGAAATCGGGATTAAAGTTCTCACTGTACAGAATAGTTATACAGTAACAACGAATACTTAAAAGCTTGAATAATAACGCGTGGTACACAGTTTACGATAACATCTTGTTGCACAAGTAATATTCATGTTTATTTCATTCGTGACTTACATCATGGGACTTTTACAGTTATATTTTTATATGTCTGCCAGGCTTGCTTTCACTTTTTATCGGCATACATTCGCTTTATGACGTATCGACCGCAGACATCGTCGTCTCCCTCGACCCATCGTGAGTCTCGCGATCCTGAGAGGACTCATCGGAGGGTCGTCGGTGAAGCAATTGAGGGTCCACGACAAGTCTGACGTTGACGGTGCTCTTCCACCACCTGTACCACGGCGACACCTGGTCCTGAAGAAGGAGAGACAAATGTGAGCGAGTGAAGAGAATCGCCGGGGTCACGGCTGCTCCTTTTCCCCGCTGATTTAAATTACCCGGGCAGTTTCAGTTGTCAGGGGCAAAGGGCAGTCCACTCGATAAATCAGGCTCGAGTGACGCGCCTCGAGTGCCCTCCGATGTGAAAAAGAGGCAGGGCAAAAGAGAGTGAGGGGAAACACAATCGAACCGGGAGAGACGCGATTCGGAAAGTGGCGCGTATTCACGATTATTCTTAATTAAACACGACGTCCGACGATTTCGATTCAACTGCAGCGATTTACAGCGCGACGCGACCGACGGTTTTATTTAAAACCTCACCATCCTCTATCCTTCGTACGCCGAGTGCACTCAAAGTACGCTTCGAAGTGGTTACTGGATCTTTTACGGGGATTAACGAGAGCATTCGGTGACGGACGATTCGTTAGACCGCTTTTGGATAACCGAGCGAAATATCGCACACCAAACAAATCATTTCGTTTGCCCATCCTCATTTAGTACAGTCTCTGGTTTCAATAATATAGCAGAGACGTTAAGCGGCATGAATAATTCTTCCCTGGATCGAAAGCGCACTTTGTTCCAAGCGGAATAATGTATTATAGATTGTAGTGGCTGATAAATCTTTCGATTTATCGACGACATTGATCTGTACCGTACCAGGAATATACGTATATTACGTGACTAGATTACCGCATATATTCTTTGCCATACTGGCGTAAGATATAGCGGTATATATATAAATATATATATATATGATAAATATGTTTCCATGAATAAACTATAAATAATAAATTATGTAACGGTACAATAGAGAGAATTTTTGATTAAAATCACTCTTTTGTAATGCTATAGAAAATCGTTACTGAATGAATTAAATTTTATTTAAGCTAAAAATCTTTTCAGTAAATTGATTAGTGATTAAACGAGACCGAAAAGGTGTATTAATATTATATTAATAAATAAGTTAATAAGTAACTATTTCCTAACTTCTGTTTTTGTTTTTTTGCTCTTTTTCTACAAGAATCATTGATTTAAATATTAATTTAAATTTTTTTAAATATAATTGTTAAATTTTCATTTCTATGTTAATTAATTGGAGTTTTCACTAGATATACCAGAATATTGATATGATAATCTCATTCAATTTCCCATATTTGCATACGAAAACTTAACGATCTCCATATTCATGTTTGAGATGATGCCAATAATAATTAATTTAGTAATAACCTTGGCAACATAATCAAACGCAACACTTGCTGACAAGTTTTATGGTAATTAACTATATACGGGAAATTAACGAGTATTAGCAACCATTTTAGAACGTATAAACAATCACCGTAAATACTCGCCATAACAATCATAAATGGTACTCTAATTTCACACCGACGCTATAAAGATTATAATCTTCATCAAGAAAGATAATTTAAACGAAAATTAACTATTAAGTAAATCATATGATAAACCAATAAAAAAATAAATACTTATAGATAAAAATCCACAAGTCATGTCGTAATTTTCCAATTATCCCAAAAAACACATTAATAAAAATTTTCATTATAAATTGCGCCTTTAAAGTATCATAAAGTAAATCGTAGAATTTTAAAGATATAAACGCGTGATATAATTTTTTCTGAGGGATGCGTGGTATTTTTAGATGAAGAGATCTACTCTATTAGCCGTGTTTCCGCTCAGTGCGCCCACCGCACCTCGTATGTATTCTTTTCGTATCAGAGCATCATGTGTCTTTCGTGCCCTTCCGGCACAAAATGCGTTCTGACACGTTTGTTCCGGGTCGCTCCCCCATATTATATCCGCGCATTCGAGCATCGGGATACCGCTCCCCTGTTTCACCCTTACGCCGCGCCTTAATGCGTCCGCCTTGGGCAAACGTTCGCTATCTGGTCCGGCGAGATCGCGCTACATAAACGTAAACCGCGGCACAACAAAGTCGCGCTGAATGCGACATAAAGTCGATGACCCAGAGGATGCATACTGATGTAAGTTATCCCGACGTACGTTACTAGTCAAAATACCACGATTCTATATTCCCTACGTTACGATACGTATATATCTCAGCCAGATATGTATATTCTTTGAAAGATATTTTGCAGTAAATAACTCATGTCTTTGCAAGGCATTCCTAGCTTACCGTGCAACCTTTCAGCCAAAGGTAACACGGTCTAAACTAAGAAAAATGGCTATTGTTTCGAAGCATCAATAGGTATTAAGTTATGGATATTATGATATATATTGATCTATGTGTCCAAAGTATCTGGAAACTTACACGTCTCGTGATTTCTAAAAAAAATGGTTTGGTAAAAGCGTTATATATTCACTTTGCAGTTAACAACTTTGATAAATATATTAATATATTCTCGATATAATGAAAAAAATATTTTACTGTTGCTATTTTAAAACACTTTGACCTCAAACTATATTTGTTATATTAATGTTACAAAATAAAAATTTATTAAATAACAAAACATGACGAAGTATTTCAAATAAATATAAATATTGCTTGAGTAAACACAACTTTATTTTTACACGTCTATCATGTTAAAAAAGTTGCGTATGTTATAATTAATTATATTAAAACGAATGAATTCATTTAATTTGTATTAATTGTGCACGACACAGTTTATGTTCATTGAAATAAAGACAGGCAAAGCTTTAGCGCGTTTATTTTTTTACTAAAACTAAATTTTATTTATTGATACAACTATAAAGACACATTCGGTTCTCTGAGGAAACATACGATGCGTTAAATACATTTCGTTTTAAATATTAATTTTATTTCACGAATATACAATATCGGTAATATTGATTCTATTTGTTTCATGTATGTCCATCGTTGTGAATTACGTAAACCGATAATTCCGTACATTTAGCTTTTGATGAACTAATCCATGTAAATTTAATAAGATATTCATGTGAATATAATTGAAACATTTCCAATGCATTTAGCTAAAAAATATCAATATGGGATATAATACTATATTCATATCTTCGTAATATTGCATAATTAATTAATTAAATACTTAATGAATTATTTTGGTATTATGTAAGGTATTTAATGCATCTTTAAAGCCAATTAATGCATTCAGTTTGATCGCATATACTGCGTCCTATTTCTATTGAATATTAAACAATAGAGTTATACGTATAAAATGAAAGCATTTGTCCCGATTGTAATTGAATTCAAAGAAATCAATAACGTTAAGCTCTGTTTTTTATTGCGATAATTCTTATTAAACGCGATCTTCCTAGTGTTAAACAATATTGAATTGTTAGCTTAAAAGAATAAATCAGGAGCATAATTACCCTACAGAGTAGGTAAACTGTGGTGACATAACCTAATATCACGATGGTCAGAAAGAACCATATCGCCCCTCGCGTCCAGGGCTTGGAAATTCCAATCTTGTTTCCCTCAATGATAAAATACCGCATACCTACAAAGTTACAGCGAATAGCAAGTATAATATTCGGTTTGATACAACGATAGTTTTACAAAAATATACACTTATCGAAATTGAAACTTCATCAACATATGATTTGAATTCTTTTTCTCATATCATATTATTCTGTAATAACATTATTTTCTTTATAACTACTTCTTCTAAAAGAAGCTTGAAATACAGGAAATATATATCAAATACGAACGCTTATATTATATAATTTTTATACAATTTCGAGTAATGATTAAATATTAAAAAATATACAGTAAGTAATATTCGAAAGTACGGAAATATTTTCAGCATTAAGCTTAATATTTTAATATTAATTTTATTTATTGTTAAATATGATATAAATACAAAATAAATATTATTTAATATTAAATGATATAAATATGTATATGACGTTATATCGAATAATAAAGCATACAACTTTTTTGAATACGCTTTGTAAAAAAATGGATTTAGTAAATTACGAAAAAATAATTATATTTTATAAAATTTTCCAAACTTTTAATTTATCAAATTACTCACCCAAAAAGCACACCGCGGCTAATCCCACCGTAACAATGGTGAGTAATGTTAAGATGAGCAGGTCTGATTCTATATTCCTACGATTTCGCGGATGGCTAATCCATATCCTCAGAGATTCTGGCCTGCAGGTATCCATAAAAATGATAATCGAGTACGACCATTAAGATAAAAGCTCAAAAAATTCTTCGGTGGAGGATCATGCTCTCATACATAGAACAAAATGTTTGTCGATAAACACAATGTGATGTTAGAATTGTAGAATATAACTTGATTTAACATTTAAATAAATATAAAAGATGCACTGCTTTACATTATAAAAATACGGATAAAAATAAACATAACGATAAAATATATTATATACACACGAATAAAACTAATATTATTTGAATAATATAAACCTTTTTGTGGAAAAAAAAAACTAATTAATTTATTATTCTGTAATTCCAACAACCGAATTGCAAATTTAAAGTGATGCAGCACACGTTATATTAAAGCATAAATCAGAATGCAGAACACGTCGTAGTTTATCGTCGATTTCTAGAGTAGTTTACTCGATACATCATTTTTGATGTTCGAGTAAACTCCAAACTGCAACCTGATCGACTCATAGTGAGGAAACAAATTGCATAGAAGAAAGTAGAAAAAAAAAGAAATATGACCGAGATCAATTTATGCCGAAAAGGAGAATAATGGGCATCGTAGCGGAAAACGAAATAAGGAAACGTGCCGGTGTGCGAGAGATCGAAGTGCATTTCGGATGCTTGAATTACATCCAGCTTGAAAGTGTACCCTCTCCGTGCTAACCCGATAAATGTAATGCTCACCATCGATAACGAGGCGTCTCCACGGCATTGAAGTAGTACCGGCACAATTCGCAGTACGTTCGGCACGACTGATTCAACCATCGTTCTAGGCAGGACAAGTGCACGTAAGCCAGCGTGCCCTTGCACCTGGAAAAGATACGCTGCGTATATCCTATTGCAATATTGTAATGTATGGTGCTACCCTAACACGAGAGAATAATATATGTATAATTTTATTAAAGAACAATGACAAAGAAATAATATATTAATTAACAATACGTAATGACGATTACGTACTTCTTCGTGAAAAAGGGACTTTTACACTGAAAAAAAATTTATTAAGTCTTAATACATATATTTCTTCGAATAGTATTAAGTAAACATTTATTTACAGTAAATAAATATTTAATCAATAAAAAATGATAGTTGAATTAAATTTAATTAATGGTTTTTCTATCAAATATATGCTTATATTTAGTAAATATTTACTTAGAACTATTCAACCAAAATTTATAAAAATTTGGTACTTTTTTAAATGTATAATATTTATGTCGCAGAAATGAATTTAATCTAGACAGCAATCCAAGATGGAATTGTAAAGGATAGAAACTAAGTGACTTCGTTGATGCTTTCACTGAGCAGTCTGAGCACTTGAATACATTTTCTCATTGTCAGCTCTTTCCAAGCAAACGTAAAAGACATAGCTTAAAACCGACACTAGTTAGACTTCAACTTTTAGAATTTACATCCAGAAAAAAAATAGTCTCTAGTCTCGTTAAAGAATCTACATTTAAATTTCAATATAATCTTTATAAAATAGTTTAAATAAGTAAAATTAATAATTTTCTAATAAAAATGCAATTGTTGAATTAGCAATTCATTAATGTGTTGTACCTAATATTGCATCCGTCTTGTAATGTTCTTTCGTACGAATGTATTTGTAAATATAAAATTATACAAGCACATCATAAATTGCATTCCGTAAATATCCGGAAGTATTAAATCTATTCATTCGTGTTCGCTCGTGAACGAACGCGAATCATCGAAATTCATTCCACCATCGAGAACGCAAGAAAAATAAATTAGATCCGATTCTCCTCATTAATCTTTGCCGTTCCGGACCGAACGCCTATGGCTTCAAAGTAACATTTGGATTAGAAAGGATATCCGTAAGTTCGAGAATTATGAAGGTAAATATTCGTGCGCGGGAAATTTGCAGCGAGTCGCTCTCATTTCGCACATTTTTACTGCGTTTTCACGTAGTTCTTCAAGCACGAATTGTGTGTCCTTAATCGCCGGGACACGTTCCTCGAACTATTCACTCATTTATGCCTTTCCACTGTCTACGGCACCGGGCCATAAATGAGAAAGGGAAAGGGTAAAGGAGAAGCAAAAGAGAAGTTCCCTTCTTATAAAATCTCGTCCCTCGTTCCTTCTTAGCACGATTCTCCATCTCGTAGCCAACGCGAGAATTATGCGACTACGTGAGGTCGATTTCGGTGCCAAGCCGGAATATACTTCATTCGACGATAGAGTCACGACGTTTCGCTTTGTCAGCCGTGTTAAACGACCGCTGTTCGCCGAGTAATCTCGTTATTATAAACAGCACCGGCAACTATCATGACATTGCTCTTCGCTTCCTATGCATCCTATATCTACGATGTATGCACTGTATGTAGCAGCGCGCAAATTAGTCCGAACAAGCTACGGAAGTCAGTAAACCTGAACTGTACTACTATTGCACGATATAGTGATTCCAAAGACAAGTTTATGCGTTAAAGTCTCGTTAAGGTGATATCAGGTTCGCATGTACGAGATCTCCCTGTTAAATAAAAGAAATGACTGAACTATTCGCGACTGAATATTTAACGTATGGTAGTCTCTAATTATTTCATTCGTCCGATATGGTTGTCACAAATTCATCCTAAAATTTCATAACGTTTGCCTGATTTCCGGACAAAATTTTATGATTTTCTATGATGCTTTCAATAATATTTAAAATTTTTCATATTTTTGTCCTGATTTGGAAACCGTCAAATATTTTAATAATCAAAAATTTTTTAAATGTTAGATTCTTTATTTACTTGTTGGCACTCAGAAGCGAATTTGCACCAGCACTTTATTTACAGCTGCAGAAGTAGTCTTAAAATCGAATTCTATGGTGCTGTCACCTGTCTATAAAAAAAGTTAAGAATCACCACTGTACTTCCCATGCATAAAAGTCTTTAATATCCTTCGACACTTCGAGCAGACTATAAAGTAACAAAATTACCCGCTGTCAGCACCGGACAAAAGAACGTTCTTTTATTATATGACCAAACACCAAACATTAATTTTAATATATGTAAAATGTATTTTTAATTACATATTTAGCACACTAATTACAGTCCATTCCTAGCAGCTCTAATTTTAATCTTTTTGTTGTCGTCAAATATTTAGTTGAGAGAATAATTTAACATAGCAATGTTATAAATTATATTATAAAAGTTGTTGACATTGCTTGCACTTAATTGTTAAGTTGGTGATATTCTAAAACTACATAGGTATGATATAGGCATATTAAACTTTTTTAAAGTAAAGCATTTTAATTTTCCAGAAAATTTTGCAAAATTCCCTGATTTTTCCCTTATTTCACTGCCAATTTTTCAATTTCTCTTTCATTTTCCTTATTTCCTGATTTTCAATTTTGTGGCAATCCTGATTAGTTTCAATTTCAGATAAATAAAAATATTAAATGTCTCTAATAAATCTTATTGATGAATATCAAACTCTGATCTATTGTTAAAGATATTAGAGGCATTTTGTATAAGTTTAAAATAACAAAAAATTTCTCAACGAACAGAAATATACGCGGCAACAAAAAGCGATGCAGCGCACAACAGTGAATGAAACAATTCTCTTTTACACGATTTGCTCTGTGGCTCATCGACGTCATAAACTTTTCCCTTTGGCAGCATGATGTACATGGACGATGATTAGCCCGCGTATATCCGGCGAAACAGTTATCGTCCAATGAAATTTATGCCGCTCTTCTTTCGCGGCGCGATTCGCCGCGGAGTATAGCTGCTGCGTTATGACATCAGTTTTGCGATTGTTCCGGCGAACAATGCATGGTATGCAGCAGAATCCAGAATACTCCGTCAGCGTCGAGTGCGATATAAGGAGCGATATTAAACGAGAAATAATTCGCGAGCGACCGCTAGGAAAGTTGCCGGCATCGCTCCGAAAAATTTCAACCCAACTTCCGATAATGAAACATTTTAAACAATCCACCACCTATTCGCCGCGAACCTACTGGCATTTTTGAACATTGTAATATTGTAACGTAGTTTCATCTTTTAGTTAATAATTGTGGATAGAAAAAGTTTTTCAATCACAGAAAACCAGGTATTCGTCACACAATCAGTTAAATTAGTCATCGCTATCATTTTTTCTAATATATCTGATTTGCTATCTAAATCACCTATGTGAAATTGACCCTCAACTTTTAAAAAAATTAACTTTTTATAGCTCATTCGATTGCTCATTGTTTGAACGTGTATGCATATTTCTAATTTTTGTTGGCACACTTTTGGTAAAAAAGTTATTTAAAAAGTTATTAAAAAAATAATTTCAGGGAGTGATAATTTCACATTAAGTTCCCAACCACGAGCAAATTAGATTTAACTAGTCTCACTCGATAGATTTTCGTTGCACATTCCAAAACAAGTCGATTGTTCGTTTGCATATATTTAGTAAATTTAGTTAAACAGTTATGAAATAAATGTTGAGACACACACACTAACTTCATGTTGTAAAAAGTACGTTCTCGGCTCGAATTCTAAAGAAACCGCATTGAAATAACTCCAATTAAAATAGATTTTCGTTTACACATCCGAAACAAATCGATTTTTCGTTTGCCTTTAGTTAAAAAGAGATTAACAGTTAAAGTTTCGAGTCGACTCCGATAGGTTCAATCAAATCGCAATTACGATATTCGATATCATTTGAACCTATTTACCTGAGTCGAATGTCCTCGGAATTTTAATTGTTAATAACTTTTGAACTAAACTGTGTGCGAACGAAACTCGACTTGAGTCTGGATGTGCAAACGAAAAATCGACTTATTTCGGAATGTGCAAACGGAAACCTATGAATTGAGAATAATTAAGGATGTTTTATACATATTTTCAAAATAATAACAAAATCATGAAAAAATTAAAAATTCTAAATCACATTTAAAAATAATACGACAAATTTAGTGACGGTTTATTATCTGAATCATAAGTTATTTTAATAAATAGTAGTATTTTTGTAATCTGTATTTTTTAATAAAAATAAATGAAGATGTATTATAAAATAAATGATAAAAATCTCAATTTTTTAATATAAGTACATTATGTATTCAAGATTATTTACATAGAGTTACATTGCGATGCATGAACTAGTTATCCAGTAAATAAACAAAATATTTATTTATTCTATATCTTTATAACTATAATCAGTGAATCTTCATGTGAATCAGCAATGAAACTTTACATAAATTATTTTCAATATTTAAAGTACTTATAAAAGAAAAATCTAAATTTTTTATCGTTTTTAAAATTTTAATTTTTAACAATAAAAATAATAACAAAATAATTAAACTATAGAAATGTGTTATTAAACAAAAATAGAATCTTATTCATACAACTTTCATATGTATATAATTTATTTAAAGTGTAAATATTAAACATAATAATAATAACAAAACTTTATTGACATGTTTAAAATACAGGAGATTTATGACAGGCGGTATTTTATAAAATTTAAGATGACATCTCAGTCAATCATACCATGCTCTTTAGTTTTTTTGAATTAATTGAAGCTCTATAGTATATTGGAACGAGCTTTCCTTATATCTACTAAACTATAAAAAAAACTCTGCGGTTCAACAAAGAAAAGGAAGACATACATATGCTTGTCTTCCTGACTCTCTAACTTCTTTGAAGTGAAACCTCACTCTAAATTGTGAAAATTAAGTCAATGAAAAAGAGTGACTCGATTTTCAGTCTTTAAGAATGAAATTTCACTCTAAAAGTCTTAAAGAGTACATTATAATAGGAAATAGGGAACAACATTAGCCAATCGATCAATCATCGATTAAGAGAACAGTACAATCTTTGTCATTGTTTAAGAATTGAGGCCTCCCTACTCTTCGATGGCTCATTGTAATACCTATACAACGGAGCTTAGTGCTTTGATCAATCAATCAATCATACTCTTCTATGATAAATCTCTGGTTTTCTAGGACTATAATAACACAAAACATAAACAAAATGCGTAAATGAATGATAAGAAAAGATGGATAAGATTAATATCCACATGACAACAATTTTAGTCTCAATTTCCTTCAAAGATGAACAGGGATAAGAAAATGGATTTATTTATTCAATGAAGGGAGAAGATAAAATCGAGCATTTGTACTCTCGAATGCGAGGACACGCCTGCATTTGGCGGCGAAATCCACGAAACTACAGATGTTTCTACCACGAAGAGCATTCCGTTTTCCACTATAAATAATCGGTCGCATTAAAATTCGTGATGACTCATGGGCTCAGTCGACCAGATTTCTCGTTGGCATCACCGCGCGTTTAATGTTGTCGTGGTAACACGAAAAGAAATAGGTCACGAGATATAAGCGTAGTACGTAGTCGAGAATTCTCACGAGGTCCTCGTGAATTAAGCCCCTACAAGCGAAGAATCGTGGCTCAGGTCATTAAGTTGACGGACAGTAGGAATGTCCCTTCATAAAAACGACAAGGATATTACCGAAATAAAATAATCGTGAAGGCTGATAAAAATAAGTATGCGCATACTTCAAAATCAAGTGATAATCTAATTGGATCATTCTCTTTTTTCTTTTTTTTTATGAGAAGCTGTGAAAGTGACCATCTGACTGAGAGAAAATAGAATTGTGTTTAGATTAGTTATCGAAGAACATTCATTAGAGTCAATTATTTTTACTCTTCAAAATTACCCAGATCTGTGATATGTAAATTTAAACGTATGACAGACAATAACAGAGTTTCAAAATAATCAACTTAAGATATTCTGAATATCGTTAGGCTTAGTAAATTATAACGGTTAATCTCTCGTGATATTTCATGGTGATTGGATGACGCGAGATGATCATCGCTTAATCGAACTTTAACGCTAATTAATTAGTGCCTGTCTTCCGTCTCATGCTTGCATGAAATTAGCATTTGTCATTTCACGCGACGTACATTGATAGATGATAAAGAATAGACTATTGGGAATCGAAGCAATTGAATTTGAAAGCCTTTCTCAGTTTGCCTTGCAGTAACTTATATACTTTTGTTTTGTAATTAAATTTATCACTAATCGACTTGGCTAAACTTCCAGCTTGAAATACTTAATAATAACTGGTAACAAAGCCTCTTACATTAAAGTTCATTTACTATAAAATAAAAGCTATTGAAATTAGCTCGAAATGAAGACTTACTCGATTTATACTCTTTCAGGACTTTAATTCGTTAAGTAAATTCTAAACTAGTAAAATTATAATATTAGACTCTCGACACTGTTGATATTTCGACACCGAAACTGCCGCTCTAATTCTGACAATTATGACTGTTTTAATTATTATAGCACTTTTAAGGGTCATTGTAGAATACTGAATAAAATGGAAATTAACTGCACATCATTAAATTGAAGTTTGAACATTTTAACATACATTACATCAAATAGTGTATACGATTATTATTATTATTATAAAATATAACATTTCATGAGTATCTACTTCATATTTGTTACATATGTCAAATTTCAACAAATTTTTTATTTTTTTTTTGCTACGTATATCGTTTAAACACATCAACAGAAATATCCGGAGCTGAATCCGCAAGATTTAAATATCGCGATGTTCCGCCATTAATACATAAGCACTTCCCGTTTCGATGAGCACCACATTTTTCTCGAATCCTATTAAGTATGAAAGATGGGACGTCCGTAAGATGGCGGAATTCTGTCCTAAATCCCGGACATCCCCAGCTATGCGGATGATACATATCGTTTTGCCATGACGATAAAGTTTTCAAAATCATAAATATTCAACTGTATCTTTTCTACACGTATATTTACGATACACGTATTATATATTACTTCTTGAATTCGAAAATTTGAAATTATATTTTTGAAAAGAAAATTAGAATTACTTGCATTTACGTACAAATAAACATTTTAATGCCACAAGAAAAAATTGCGTACATATTTAGCTATTTTCGTTGTGAATTAATTTTCTCAATAATAATATTTTTTTAACACAATATATATATTTAATAATATTTTTATAATATTTAACATATAAATATAAAAATTTCAAAATATTTTGAACTATAATAAAACACATATGCATAGTAAATTGACGTGCGAATGTTTTTACGTACAGAATACCTATAACTAATCAAAACAATTTTGTCCTAAAGTTACACGGAAAAAACGCTTCAGTTGTCATAACCGGAAATAATGATAATTTTCGCACATCAATATATTTGGTTGTGATAATCGTAAGATGGACAAATCTTAACAGCCAAGAATCCTAACAATTAAGATATGCCAGTCTTACAATTATCACAATCATACTAGTTCTTATAACCAAAAGATGTATCGATAGGCGACTTTGGTCGTGCGAGATTTTTTTTCTTAGAGTTTACCCTGAAAATATAGTCGAGGGACAACACTGTATTTTGAAGAATTTTTTTTATGTAAATCTCTCTCATTCATTAATAAAACTACAATAAAATATAAAATAAGTTTGATTAATTTTACTGAAGTGCATAGTAAAAATCTTTAAAATATTGTATTGTACCATAACTACCATATTTTCAGGATAAATTTTAAGAGAAAATTCTCTCTGTGGTAATCGTAGCCGTTTTTTCCTTACAGAAATAATATTTGTATATAATATAAAATAATTGTAATTTCCTCCCTCTTTTAAGGATAATCTTATTATAGAATTGATGGTATAATAATGGAACTCTCAGTAACGTTATTAAGCAATTTAATCAACTTAAGCTTATTCTGAAATCCGTCCAATTACGATTCTTAAATTGGCGCTGTACCTTATCTCTAAATACATTTATGAACCTCATCCATATCGTAATATATATACATGGATTATAATAATCCTAAATATATACGGCTTTATGATTATTATGCATGTATATTACTATCTATCTATATTTTATGCAAACAACAAACTCGTATGCATAATAAGTTTTTTGCTAATTTCAGAAGAGGATAATAAGACAAACTCCTTTTTTTCATTATTTCAATCAATTATTTAAGTTAGAAATACACTGTGGGAAAGAAGCATTAAAACTCGATATTATCAGAACACTAACTTTTCGTTTATAAGTCATCGCATTGTGCATAATACTTAACAGTATTATCGCGAATAAAATTATTATGTTTTTTTATTTATTCATTACTCGATCACTGTATATTTGATTTCATTCTATCCTTTATTCATTCCATCATTAAACCATCTTAATAGCTTCCAAAATTGAGGTTTTGTCCATCTACAATACTGCAGTACTATACGGTCTGCTCAAGCTGTGATAGAACGTGTATGCATTTACCTACAAGGGGAAATAAGCGGTTCCTTCGCCGTGTTTGTGTGACATATTCGGCAGACGCTGGACCCGACGGAGATCAGACTGCGGGTAAACCGATGCTGTTGTCCAACGACCCCCGGAGACACTTGCTGCGTGTCGCGGCCATTTAAATTGCAGGCCGAGCCCTCGGGAGCCATGGCCGATGGCGGCATCGGCATGCTACGCTCGTGATCCAAGTTAACTGTGGAACCAGCCAAAGAGAAGGACACACCACGCGGTGCATATGCATGATCCACCACGTACTCGCGCTTATTTACACCCCATTCACCGCACCGTGCCGCTCGGCTTTAAGCGTCTATTTTCTATACGAACCGATCGGAAATCTGATAATAGTTCGCGCCAGTGGTTGCCAACCCGTAAGATCTCGTGAAGCTTGTATTCAATTATTATCCCCTACATTTCCGAATTTAGCGAAACAAAAGCAAAATTTTACTCAAACGTGGATTCTCACATACTTTTAAGTTAATAAAAAAGATTTAAAATAAAAGTTTCTGCTAAAAAAAAGCAGATAAAAAGTGCCTGATTGTGAAAGTAATTTAAATTTTTTTTCACAAACAATAAATCTCATTCATCAAAGAAACTCATTCGGTTTATTGAATAATAACTGTATTAAACAAAGCGGTGACTATTGCCTGAAAATGATACTCTTTCCAACTACATTTGTTAAAATTTTTTATTTTTTTCATTTTTTCTCTTGTTTTATTTTTCGAAATCTAAAACAAAATTAATACTATTTTATACACATGGTCGATTTGAAGAGAAAGTTGCACATAACACGGTGCATATGCATGAGCGATCACAAGAGTTTCTGCATTCATTTATCCTCTATCCAAATCTAAATCGAATTTATTTAAAGTTTTAACGTGAAATCTGTTGGCAGCTTATTGAATAGTAAAGTTAACGCTGGTGAACATGTCGATGCTTTGACTTCAAAAGTTCAAATATTGCATTAATGAGATAATCGTATATTTTATTTAATGGAAACTTTATTTTCTCTATTACGAAACTCAATGATTTATTAAATGATCAAATGATATACAGCAGGACTCATTAATTATTTAAATTTCACTAATTTTCATTACATCGAAAGTCGAATACACTTGAAAGTTTTGTTTCACGTGTTATATATAATTTTCACATATCAAATATTAATTAATTGCAATTCTCATCATAATATTATCAAAGTTTGATTTTAGCAGATTAAAATTAAATAACGCGTCAAAGGATTAATCTTACAAGTAAATTATATATCAGTAACTTAACCCAATTCTCGCATTCATGTTTAAATTATCACGTTCATTATCCTTTATATATATTTTATGTTATCCTTTATATATTTTATTTCTAATAATTAAATGACTTCCACATGTTCGCCATTCATTTTGAACTACCCAAAAACTAATTGAAGCAAATCTTCAAATTCATATTAAGATTGATTGGATTTTAGTTCGCGAGATACATTTCGTTTCTCGAAGACTTCCGGAGATGTCAAATGAGTCAAAATTTATATCATGCCCGAGTGCCTCTCTTCTCTAACGAGACGCAATCTCTCGAGCTCTTTGATTCGCGGAAATAGATGCTCTCAAGTTTTTCCGTGACAATGAGACCGAACTTTAAATGAAGTCCCGCCGGCTGCGGCAATATTCCAGATGAAGAATGCAAGCCGTAGCAACGTCGCGACAGACAAAACCTACCTACTTGCGTTTCCGACATCGTGAAAGTTTCCGGCGCGATACATAACCAACAATTTCCCGTGAAACGAAGTTGTGCGTATGGTGCTGAGTCCTCCAAAGTCCCTCTGATCCCGAAATTTCCGTAAAGTTTATTTTTTATATAACGCGACGCCACCAAATGCAAATGTGGAACCGACCTGGTAGGTCGGCAGAGGTAACTTTTAACCTATCCGAGGGTGCTGACACATGGAACGTGTAATGATAATTTAGCTCATTTTTCACCGTTATTTTTCTGTTTCCTCAGCGAATCGATCGCGATAAATGAAAATAGTGCTAGATCGAAAGGCTGTGACCTTTTATCTGTGATTGGATAGACTACTGTCTGTCTCTATAGTTTGATCGAAAATCGCATTGCAATTTTTCTTTAAAAAAATCATGATAAAGAGAATTTTTTTGTGTGTGCCATTCATTCATATTCAACCATCTATTATAAGCATAGGTATCATTAAATAATTGTAGGTATATGATATAAGAACACATCATGGTTGTGCATATATACTTAATAAGTACACGTTGAGATCTATAGATTCTCTACAGAGAATAATAAATCGATATCTTCGAATTTATTTTGTTTAATCGTATATTTTATTTTGACAAATTAACGGTTGTAAAATCTTTCTACAAAGTAATAACAATGCCCACGAAAACTTTAATGCATATTATCTTGGAAAAATGATACCATTGTTTTATAAAACGTTGAAGGATGCGCAAAAATTATTTCTTTTACAATTTTACAGTTTTCTTATATCGCGTTTTTGATGTGAAAAAAATTTTATATGTTTTTATTTTGAAAAAAAAAAAAAAAATTATTTCATATCATGTTTCTACCATTAAAAAATAGACCTTCTACTGATCCCAAAATATTTGATTAAAACTGAACATATTATCGGCGAATTCGTACGAGATTAAAACATGTAAGAACTCTGTGTATTAGAACATGATACTATTCAGGAGACCTGCAAATTAATCTACCGGGTCTCATTTTCCGTGGATCCTGAAATTAATCTTTGTAAACCTCTGGAACACGATCGGCTAAATTAATGCAAAATGCATCTATATGTATATATCGTAGAAGGGGCCGCATACCGATCAAAAATAAAAAATAGCATTACAATGAAACATTAGCTACGAAATTGAAAGCAAACTCCAGTCAGTTTGAAATCAAAGCTGAATTTTTGTTGTCGAACGAGTGAAAATGCATTTCAAACACAAAATAAAAAATTTCCGTGCGCTGGTACGCACTTCAATTTCGCCTTTCGTACGTAAACACTCGGTCTGTACGGTCTGCTAGCGGCTTTTTATTGGATCTCGAAACGAGATTCCTTTGAAGGAAAAAATATAGTTTTGGAATAGACGTCGGAAGCACTGTAGTTAATCATTTTAAAAACGTGTACAGTTATATAATTTAATAAAGTTACATTCTTTTATGTACAAATTGCTAATATAAAAAAAATTACCAATCCTTTTAGTAATACCTTTTAAGACGCTTATTTATATTCTACCTTTTAAGACGCTTATTTATATTCTAAGAGAAAAATGTATTAACTGAATGCAAAACGAGATTTATTAATGGCCGTGACAGATTCAAAAAATAAAAATGCATTCTTACAAGATTGAATGGGCTACAACATTCTGAGAATGATAATCTACTAATATTTCATAAAATATACGACATTTTTTCTTAATATTAAAATATCATAATATATGACCAAAAAAAAATTGAAATACATAAAGATATAAAACGGAATTAATTGCAACACATAATCTATTATTTAAACCTATTATTAAATTTATTATAAAAAATATATCAAAAGAGATACACGTATTTCTTTAAATTTTAGAGCTTTCTATTATCTTCATAAAAACTCCACAAAAACTTCAATATGGAATTCATTTTAACATTATTATTTAAACCCACATGTTAATTTAATTTGATTTTCTGCTACCTCAATCTTTTCGACTATTCACCAATTATAATTGTTCGACAGGACAAAATTGAGCTTAGATAGTCTCTTTAAAGGAATTGCATATTTTGCCTATTTCAAATTGAGATCTGGCGAAGAATGTCCCGAGATCGTGGCCCCGTCATAAGATTATGAAGATTAATTAACTGCAGAAACTATGCTGTGCGCCAACGTCACTAAATTGAATCTCGGGCGGGTTCCTGATTTATAGCGCCACTGCATCGAAACTTTTTCCCGCGAAACGCCTGGATTTGCATTGCATTAAGATTCACGGTCTATCATTCACGGAGTAAAAGAATCTGCCGTTTGTACTTAACTTCTTCCAACAGGCGCCCTTCGAGGGCAATCTCGACTTTACTTCTTTTTAATTTCGTCTGGTCGAAAATTCGTCTCTCCCGTTAAAAAAAAAAGTTAAATAAAATGTTTAATATTAAATATTATGATTTATTTGTATAGAATTTCAATAAATTTTAGTATATTGATTTATATGAATCTCATAAAAGTAATACATTTTTCATAGAATATACAATTCCTTTTTCGTATATGAGAATAGAAAAAAAATGTATAAAATCAGATACGTGCTTTAATGCCACTACTATATCAACATACAAAAGTTTTAATCAGAGATTACGCGGAAGCTCTATCGGCAATAGAACTGCTGAAGCAACGTTAATTAGGATTGCGATGCTACGAATCATTCTATTTCATTACACAATTTAATCACCGTAATATGGTAATAATGTGACTATTAATTACTTTTCACGTCCGGTATAAACTAATGCGATACTCTAGATCGATTTAACAAATGAAGCTTCGACGAAATACAAATAGAATAATTTATGGGAGGAAGTGTTACGGTGATTAATTCATGTACATAATAATAGGTAATGCGTATAAAATCGCTCTATAAATTTTGGAAGTTTCATGAGAGAAAATTGTTTACAAAGCAACACAGTGAATGCTTGAGTCAAGTGCTACTCTTCAATCACGAATATTTCCATTTAAATAAATTTTGCCTATCATTTAATCCGTAAACAATTTTTATAATCAGTTTTTATTTCGATATAATGTCGTATAACGGTACACAATGCCCACATAATACTCAAGTAATGGAGATGCATCCATTAAGCTGTATAGTGACCGTTTCTTCATCGATCCTAGAAGATGGATATGACAGTATTAAAGCAAAGACATTCTCTCTTCCCTCTCTCTCCCTCTTTCTTTCCCATCAAGTGTGCTCCTTTATTGATCAAAGATTAATAATAAACAGACCAAAAACGTAAACCGTGTAGTACTACTAATTGTCAGAACAATAACAACATTTCTAATTTGCGATATATTATCGTTTATTTTTCACATCATTAAAAATAGGTTATTTAAAAATTTAAGGATTCGTCTACTTCGCGATCATTTCAGGACTGTGAAATAAATAGCATCAGAATATCAAAATGTTTTAACCGACACAATGCCAATATCTATTTTATAAATTCATTCATCTATATCCGACTAACAGCATTGTTTTAATTTTATCCATAGATCACGCAAAACTTGAAATAAAAAATTATGACGTTGTTACACAATCGATCTGATTGTTTATTTTAAGAACTTAGGATACCTATACATATACTAGATAGTATACATCATAACGCAGAATAGAAAGAAGCTGTGCAAAAATAAAATGCATCGATAATCCCAGTATTTGCGTTAGTAATAAAGAATGTTTAATTTTAGAAAAAATAGCAATGTGAAGGAAAAAAAAAATTATTTTTAATTGGAAGTGCTTTATATGTCTATTATATATATATGCAAGAGGTATGAAACATTTTTAAAATTATATCTGCACTGTTTTTTTATAAGTGTCATTAATTGTATACTTAGCACATATCAATACGTAGGAGTTAATAAATCATTTTATACATCACACTCTTTTTTGAGCTGTCCATAAAACACGATACGAATAACAATGCTATGCCACTTTCATTGTTATTACTTGAGGAATTGTCGACATTTTTCTCTTCACTAACCACGAATCGAAAGAACGCGAACGCTCATATATCTCTATAAAGATCGAAGATCCGAAAACGAAGATTCCCGCGTTTGTAGATATTCCTATTGATTCTGTCGCCTTTCTTCCGTCGACACTCAACGACATGCCGTCGCCCCAACTGCATTTACCCGACATCACCAGATATAACAATTCCATCGAAGATCTCACCGCGGAGAACTTTAAACCCCCTCGCAATCTAGATTTTGTTTTCGGCGCCGACCGTGCAAGACGACACGCTGGGGAACCGCGAAAGTTTTCAGTCCACGAGACGCCACTCGTGAATTTTCTCTCCTGACGCAAATTTACCCCTTGCTAGCAGCGCGTATTGACCGAAAAACAAGTACATTTTTCGTCCGATCGTCTCTATAACTTATGGGAATGCTAGAGTGACCCCAAATTATCGACATTACAGTCGTATAAAAATCTTCTTAATATATTTCTTAATTTCTTTAAATCTTTAATAAAAAATTCTTCTACAAGATCAAAATAGACACAAAATTAAAAAGTGGTGCAGCAGATTTTATACATAAAATCGAAAAAAAGTTAAAAACTTAATTAACTTTTTTTTCGATTTTAGTATAAAGTCCACTGCACTACCTCCTAATTTCGCGTCTACTTTAATCCCGTAAAAGAATTTTTGATTCCGTTCAATCAATTTTTATACAACCATAATATCGATAATTTGGTCACTTCAGTATTCTCTTATAATGTTTTATGCAAGATACACACTATATATTTTAATACATATTTTTAATAATATTATATAATATATACACTTTCAAAATATAATACATATCTTGTATATTATATATATATATATGTATATATCAGTTGTCAGAGAAAATATATTAAGAAAGATTACAAGAGATAAAATATATCATGCAAAAGTTATGGCATAACTAAGATTTCAAAAGAATCTTGGATATCGTATAAATTATACGCATATATTTAAAATATTCGACGAAGTAGTTTTGTTTTCCATTTTTTAATCATACTGTTTTACATTTCTTAATTCTTGAAATTGTGAGATCTTGTAATTATTTAAATAAAAATGTTAATTAAAATGCATTATATAGATATAATAATTGAGTGATCATAGGTAGTAAATTATAATTGCTAATTACTTTATTATATAAAGGATTTTATTCCTCAAAATTTCTTTAAAAATGTTAAAGAATTTGACACAGAATTGCATATAATATAAGCATAAAAATATAAATTTTTAATTCGTTATTTAATCAAAGTTTAATTTACTTAGATTATATTCACTGTTC